TTGTGTTTGCCCTTGATCTAATGTCCGCATATGACGGAGAACATACAATTTTTGATCTTTTGGTCCAGGCTAACCTCACTCAGAATGATGATCTCTAATTCCATCCATTTATCAGTGAATGATAACATTTCATTCTTTTTCATGGCTGCATAAAATTCCATTGTGTATAGATACCACATTTTCTTAATCCATTCGTCAGTAGTGGGGCATCTTGGCTGTTTCCACAACTTGGCTTACGATGGCTTTCTTAAGCACTTTACATTCCCACATTACAGTTTGTTTTATTTTTGGACCACAGATCAGATGTACATGTAAAAAGTATTTTCCTGGAGTTTCTTATCACCATTTTTTATTGCATTATTTGCTTTTATTGTTATTACTCTTTACACACTTGTAGTCTAATTTGCATCTTTAATTCTACATTCATAATTTTTTAGTGCTTCTCTTCCAGCTTTGTCTTAGCAATCATGCTAATCTCTATACCTGCTTATGTTCTTATTTTCAGGCAACATCCTTTTCTGGTTTTATGGCTGTGCTACATTTGGATCCTTCATGTTAGAATTCTATGCTAGAATTCTTCATGCTAGAATTCTTCTTGTTTGGTTTGCCTCAGATTTTTGTTTGTTTGTTTACTTTTCAGGTTTGCTCTGTTTCTCGTTTAATTTCATTTCTTTGTGATCAGTTTTCCAGTTTATATTATGCCAGTCTTTCTCCTGAACGCTGCAGGTGCTCTTCACATACAGCTGGCTTTCCATTCATACTTAGGAAGAAAGGAAAGGCCACTGGCTAAGGTGTTTTTGTTACTAACAGAACTTTCTTCCAGCAATATTTTTTTCTTGAGTAGGACTTCTATAGGAAAACAGGGCTGGGATTCCCTTTAGGGTCAGCTAATAAGGAAACTAGCTTCCAGGCTATAGCCACCCAGTATCCAAGTAACTTTATTCAATTTCTTTGTCACTCATGTATGTTTTCCCCCTTCAGTCTAAATGTTAGCTACTTGCCTGTGAGAGTGCCAACTGCTCCATTTCCTTACTTGTAAATCTTTGATTAATCCCTCTTTCGTAGCCTCACTTCTCAGTTATGCTTTCTGAGGACAGAACTCTTCCCCTTACATCATTTTCTAGACACCGACTTCTCTGCCCATTTAATTGGACAACTTGCTTCTGCCTGTTTCTCCATGTTTACCAAAATCACTCCCCTGCCGGTGGCCATCACTACCCACAATCCTGTGCTTCCCTTCCTCTACTTCCTTTTCTGTCAGTTACATCTTCATTGTACTTTTATATATATATATTTTATTTCAATGAGACTCTCAGGAGTAATGGGAGGCAAACTTAGATTTCTACCATTTTGAATCTCTTTAAGTTGGTTTTAGAAAAGCTGCCAACTCAGTTTCCATTCTGAACTTCAGGAAATTCTAGACTGTTTCCATTGCATAGTTTTCTCTGTTACTTATTATCTCCTCAGTTAGACTGAAGGCTCTACAGGAACTATAGTGATGCATTTGAGTGCATTTGTTTCTTCTAGAATCACAGGCTCAACTGGAAGGACATTCAAAGCTTCAGATACCAGTGCTAGCATTTAAGGCAGACTATTCTTCTCTCTTAACTTTGCTTTTCAATTTTATATTTTTTCTTTTTCCTGCTGCTTGCCTTGCTCTCTGTTTCTTACCTAGTCATCATTCTCTTAATTCTGGCTTGTTTCTTCACTGCGTCTTCTTCCCAACCCCTTCTCCATCTATAGAGGCAAAGCAGCTCTTTCCTCTGGGCACTGTCTCCCTTTACTCCTGATGGTCACTCTTAGAAGGCTGTTTCCAGACATTTCACTACACCATCCATATTCCTCATCATCATCCCTACAGCATTTTGAAGTTTCCTAGGAATTCTCTTTGAATAATTTTGAAAGTCAGTAATTTTTAATGCATGGTCAATCTTACTTTGTCCCTACTCACATTCTTCCCCCACCATATTATTCTGAAATAAATCCCAGACATCATATCGTTTCTTTCACACATATTTTACTATGCATCTTAGGTAGGTCTCCTTATAAATGTAATTTTGATATAATTAGCATGCCTAAATTGTTTAATATTATTACGTATCTAGTAAGAATTTAGGTGTGCTAATGATATTGTGGTTACATTTATAAAGGAGCCCTTACTGATAATACAACCAAAAGCTGGTTTCAGGTTCTTTGAAAAGGTCCAAAAGAAGAGATAAAGGTCTAGGCAAGTCTCACCAAGAAAACACAGTGAAGACATACACACACAAAAAATCAGACATGAAAACACAGTGAAGACACACACACAAAAAATCAGAGAAGAAAACACAGTGAAGACACACACACACACACAAAATCAGACAAGAAAACACAGTGAAGACACACACACACAAAAAAAAAAATCAGACAAGAAAACACAGTGAACACACACACACAAAAAAATCAGACAAGAAAACACAGTGAAGACACACAAAAAAAAAATCAGACATGAAAACACAGTGAAGACACACGCAAAATCAGACATGAAAACACAGTGAAGACACACACACAAAATCAGACAAGAAAACACAGTGAAGACACACACACAAAATCAGACATGAAAACACAGTGAAGACACACACACAAAATCAGACAAGAAAACACAGTGAAGACACACACACAAAATCAGACAAGAAAACACAGTGAAGACACACACACAAAATCAGACAAGAAAACACAGTGAAGACACACACACACACACACACACACACAAAATCAGACAAGAAAACACAGTGAAGACACACACACACACACAAAATCAGACAAGAAAACACAGTGAAGACACACATACAAAATCAGACAAGAAAACACAGTGAAGACACACACACACACACACAAAATCAGACAAGAAAAAACAGTGAAGACACACACACAAAATCAGACAAGAAAACACAGTGAAGACACACACACACACAATCAGACAAGAAAACACAGTGAAGACACACACACAAAATCAGACAAGAAAACACAGTGAAGACACACACACAAAATCAGACAAGAAAACACAGTGAAGACACACACACAAAATCAGACAAGAAAACACAGTGAAGACACACACACACAATCAGACAAGAAAACACAGTGAAGACACACACAAAATCAGGCAAGAAAACACAGTGAAGACACACACACACACACAAAATCAGACAAGAAAACACAGTGAAGACACACACACACACACAAAATCAGACAAGAAAACACAGTGAAGACACACACACAAAATCAGACAAGAAAACACAGTGAAGACACACACACACACACAAAATCAGACAAGAAAACACAGTGAAGACACACACACACACACAAAATCAGACAAGAAAACACAGTGAAGACACACACACACACACAAAATCAGACAAGAAGACACAGTGAAGACACACACACAAAATCAGACAAGAAAACACAGTGAAGACACACACACACAATCAGACAAGAAAACACAGTGAAGACACACACACAAAATCAGACAAGAAAACACAGTGAAGACACACACACAAAATCAGACAAGAAAACACAGTGAAGACACACACACACACACACACACAATCAGACATGAGGGGGACACTATACTATACACATGAAGGTCATAAAAAAACTACCACGAAATTTTTATCTGTAATTTTATGCAGATGAATATGAAAATATAAATAAAATGAATAATTTTAACTACATATGTAAATTACCAATTATTCTGAATGAATAAATAAAAATGAAAGCACCTGAAAAAAAAAAAAGGAGCCCTTTCTGAGGCTTAATATCTCACATATCCAGTGTGTAACTTAAATGTCATTACATACCCAGCAAGTATTCAAATGTAGGTTTCATAATTATCATTAATAATGTGGGGAGAGGGTGTAGGAGGGTGAATATGGCGCAAATACTGTGAACACATGTATGTAAATGGAAAAATAAGACCTGTTAAAACTATTCCAGGAATGGGAGAGGAGAATAAAGGAGAATAACAGAGGGGGTGAATCCAACTATGATATATTGTAAGAGCTTTTGTAAATGTCACAGAGTAACCCCAGTACAACAATAATTTTAAAAATCATAATTGCCATTAGTACTTTTTATTTTGTTTGATCAAATTGGGATCCGTTGTAAACTCTAAAATCTGACGAGGTTGGCATACCTTTTAAGTCTCCCTTCATCTATGTTACCCCTCCATCTCTCCTGGGATTTTATTGTGTTTTTCAACTCTCACATAATTCCTTAATTTTCTCACCAAATCCTTATATGATTTCAAATCTCTTCAAACCTCTTTTTTATAAGAAATTATAAATTTTTATCTGATCATTTGGTTGAAACTTGGTATAGATATGTTTAAGTTAGTCCAATCCAGTTGTTCGTGACTTTGTAATTGGAGAGCCAGTAGTTTCCCTGAGAGATCAGCTATGTTCTTCAGTTTACTGGTGAATATGAAATGTACTTTTTGTAAGAAGGCTCCTTTTGGGAATTCTCACAAACTTCTGAAATATGATAAAAATAAAATTTTGCATTAAAATGAAAATAGCATTATGTTGTCAAATTTTTCATCCTTAATAAATCAATAAATGAGAAACCAGTTTTCTGAGGGTAAGCTCAGAGCCTCATTTATGTGGACATATAAACTATTATATTGGTCATATAAAATTTCACAGGCTACTCTACTGTGCTGATGTCTAAAATGGTATGAATGGGAGCCATTGTTTTGTTGTAAGGGTTATAGCCATTTCATGCTTCCTTGACTTCTGGTTATTTTTGTTCAGAAGTTTTTAATGATGAAATCCAATCTTGTCCTTGCCTAACCATTTTTCTTGGGTGATATACAGTGTTGTCCAAAGAATTAATATTTATGAATCACAGATTTTTCTTTTTTTTGGCCAGAGTTAAACTTGGAAGGATCAGAACCTTCAGAGTGAAATGTCAAGTAAGAAATTTCCTTTTATAATGTATTTTACTCACTTCCTCCCTGGTTTTAGGAGCTGGGAATCCCAAGTGCAAACTAGCAATTGTTTTGGGAAGAACTGAAACTACTGTATCCAGGTAACATAATTCTGATTGAGACATCTATGTAAGAATAAATCACTTTCTACCAATTTCATTTACTTAAAACACACCAGTGGGGCTCACAAATCATAATAATATGATTATTATTAAGATTAGTTGTCATACGTTTGCATTTTACAAGTATTTTACAGAAAGATAAAGCTAGAAAGCATTTTAGGGAGTGTTGCTGTGTTCACTGGACTTTCTGGCACTGGAAAGTGTCACTGGGCCATCAAAGTTGTTTGGATGAGATGATTAGACATGACATTTTTCAGAAGTGTCTGTAATACTGGATTAGATGTTTAGATCAAAGGCAATAGCCTTGAAATGTTTAATTTTGTACATTAGTTCCCAGTTACCATTGTTGAGCAACAAGAAACCTCAAAGAATTTTCACTTATTTTTGAATCACTATTTTTGCTTCAAATCACAGCCTGCATCAGTCTGTGCTAGGTGTGTCTTTTACATGGTTCCCAGTCCAGACAGCATTACTTGTGTGATCCCATGATAAGAACAACAACAAAGATGCTTTAGACTCTGCCTGACATCAGGTCATTTCTCCTCCTAACAAGCTTTCCCCAACACTGTTTTTCTTTTGACTAGACACAGGCAACACAGCATGATTCTTGTTCCAATGGACACACCTGGTATACAAGTAATAAGGCCTTTGTCAGTTTTTGGCTACCTGGGTAAGTACTCAATAAATGTGTCCAAGAACTAACAGGCAAGAAGACTAGAATCTGCATAGCTTTTTTTTTTTGTAGTACTGGGGCTTGAACTCAGGGCCTATACCTTGAGCCACTTCACCAGCTCTTTTTTTTTTGTTGTTTTTTTCTTTTTCTTTTATTATTCATATGTGCATACAAGGCTTGGTTCATTTCTCCCCCCTGCCCCCACCCCCTCCCTTACCACCCAGTCCGCCCCCTCCCTCTCCCCCCCAATACCCAGCAGAAACTATTTTGCCCTTATTTCTAATTTTGTTGTAGAGAGAGTATAAGCAATAATAGGAAGGAACAAGGGTTTTTGCTGGTTGAGATAAGGATAGCTATACAGGGCATTGACTCACATTGATTTCCTGTGCGTGGGTGTTACCTTCTAGGTTAATTCTTTTTGATCTAACCTTTTCTGTAGTACCTGTTCCCCTTTTCCTATTGGCCTCAGTTGCTTTTAAGGTATCTGCTTTAGTTTCTCTGCGTTAAGGGCAACAAATGCTAGCTAGTTTTTTAGGTGTCTTACCTATCCTCACCCCTCCTTTGTGTGCTCTCGCTTTTATCCTGTGCTCATAGTCTAATCCCATTGTTGTGTTTGCCCTTGATCTAATGTCCACATATGAGGGAGAACATACGATTTTTGGTCTTTTGGGCCAGGCTAACCTCACTCAGAATGATGTTCTCCAATTCCATCAATTTACCAGCGAATGATAGATAACATTTTGTTCTTCTTCATGGCTGCATAGAATTCCATTGTGTATAGATACCACATTTTCTTAATCCATTCGTCAGTCGTGGGGCATCTTGGCTGTTTCCATAACTTGGCTATTGTGAATAGTGCCGCAATAAACATGGGTGTGCAGGTGCCTCTGGAGTAACAGTCTTTTGGGTATATCCCCAAGAGCACCAGCTCTTTTTTGATATGGATTTTTTTTTTTTTGAGATAGGGTCTCACAAACTATTTGCCTGGTCTGGCTTTGAACCACAATCCTCCTAATCCTGTCTCCTGAGTAGCTGGGATTACAGGCGTGAGCCACAGGTGCCTGGCAGGAATAGATAGCATTTAATGTGTGCCCTGTATACTTGGAAATCCCTTTGGCCCAACAGCTCTCTTAATGTGTTGGTGGACATCAGGATAGAGCAGATAAAAAGAGACAGTGCAACATTCTGCCTCATTTTGTTTGCTGCTTGAGAAAAGGCAGGTTGTATTCAAGGAACAGCACCTCTAACTCCCAGTCTTCTTGAGACTTCCATGAGAATGGATTAATGAAGTAGATATGGTTAAATTCAATCAAGATCGTCCAGTTTTTGTCTTCCGAGTTCAGCTTTGTTGGTCAACCTACAAGAGCTAGGTTGGGTTTTGATTTATTTGAGTGAAAATCATTTCCTTTCTTCTGCCCTTGGGTAGAATTTCTAAGAAGCAAGACTACTTTTGTTTCCTGTCCTCCATCCTATACACATGTCCACCCTGCCCATGCTCCACGGGTGACCCTCTCAGCAAGTATTTGCTAAACACTGAGTACTGTTCTAGGTGATTAGAGCATTAATGAATGAGTGAACACAGTAGACTAAGACCCTTGTGTTTGTGGAGTTACATGCTGGTGGAAAAAAAGAGACAATAATACAATCATGTAAAAAAGTAAATTACAGCATATTTGCAGGTGACAAATTTCACAAAAAAATGTTTGAACTTCAGGTTCAGTGTTGAGTCTGACTTTCTCTGTATTGTTGAACATGACTGATGAATGCATTTGAGTAGCAGCTAAAAGACTTGCAATTTTATAGAATGTTTGACATCATAACCTGTGTGATGCAGCTGTATAATATACCCACAGGTTAGGTACAGTGGGTGAAGTGAGATGAACAAGCTCACTGAAGCAAACTCCATATGAGAGGTTGCACTGCATAGCAACAGCCTGAAAAACACCAACAGGAACTTAAGTGTAGCTTAGGTAAAAATACGCTCCACTGCAGAGCCTACTTTTGAATTTTCAGTACGAAAAATTTCACCAGCACTTCTCCAACTCCCTATATCCCAAGGCCAAAAGAAACAGTGTGGAGAGAGTCATCTATTAATTCTATCCTGACAGGAAAAGGGTGGAGGTAGCAGGAGATTATCTCCAGAATTTGATGAAGAGAAGGGGTGGGTGAAGCAAAGACAAAAATGTGGATGGGTTCCCAGTCTCAGTGATTCAAGTGCCAGCATTATCAACAGGCAGCACAGAATGGAACAAGTACAGACTGGGAGTGGCAATCCTGAATGCAGGCCCAAGTCTGCTTTGTCACCAGTGCTGAAACAGCCTGTTCCCCAAACAGGACCCTTGAATCTGCCAGCATTAACTTGACTTACACTACTTACTTTCAGTGTTTTAAACATTGAGTCTTTTTTTCCAAGCAAACTTTTGTAAACATACACACACACACACACACACACACACACACAAATGCACACTATATTAAAAGAAAAAGCAATAATAAAACATTATGGAGCTCAGTTTTGCATCCCCATAGCTCTGCAGCTTCAGAGAACAAACTAGAAAGTCTCTGGATCAAATGATTTCTACAATCTTTTCTAACTTGAACAATTGATGAGCTTTCTGGAGTGGTAGGTGATGGGAGTTCAGGGCTGATTGATATCTACTAGAAATGTCAATGGGTTCTTTAAATCCTGCTTTATACTTCAGCAGATTAATAATCTATGACTTTTTTTTGGTCAACTCATTTTTCTCTTAAAATTTTATTTTCTGTTTTATAGATCAATTGCATGGCGGGCATATGGAAATCCATTTTAACCAAGTGCGAGTTCCGGCCACCAATTTGATACTAGGTGAAATAAGTTTGCAAAGCTCTTCTCCAGTATTGTGTCTTCATGCTTTCATGTCTAAGTCTAGAAAGGGATATGCAGTCAGCCTTAATTTAGATACTTCCCCTTTTATTTGCTCCACTTATCAAGGACAGATTTTCCTACATGAAGTGGTAAAGTTCTATTTAAATATTAGATGTGGTTTTGTATTTTACATCAATTGAAAACATAGCTAAATACAAAAATCACACAATTCTAAGCAACATACTTTTTCCTAAGACATGATCCGTAGGCCTCTACTTGTTTTAAGAAAACTTTAGTACTTTCTGAATTCAAGTCTTAGATACAAAGTAGAACAAATAACTCAACACTGGAATGATCCTCTTGTTTATTGGGTGGAGTCGATAAGACTCCAAAGGATATTTCAAATGCCACCCCTTTCAAGAATGCTTTTGTGTTTCTTACCCTATCCACTCAACAAGCTTCTGACATCTGCCAGGCCCTAAGGTTACAATGATAAACAGTCTCTCCCTCCTTTGTCTTTCTTTGATATTCTCTATACTCCTTACCCTTGTTCCATCTTGATCCCAAATTCCTAGTCTAGGGACTATTACTCATCTACCTTTGTAACTCTTGAAGCACTAATAAAGTAACTTATGTTTTACTCAAGGGACTATTCTTAAATTTGATTACAATGTTTAATGATAGTGGCTTTAAAAAAACAGAGAAATCAAAATTCCCGTAAACATATAGTAAACTTTATTGTAGAATTCACTTTTTCTGCACCAGAAGATCATTTTGATTGAGGGCAGCTCATTTTTTCAGGGCCTGTGTAAATAAGTAAGAAAAGGAATGGGCTTGTTCATTTTCACATTCCATTTTCTTTCTCACAGGTGAAGGTAAGGGATTTGAAATCTCCCAAGGCCGCCTTGGCCCTGGGAGAATCCACCACTGTATGAGAGCAGTAGGAATGGCAGAACGTGCTTTGCAGATCATGTGTGAACGGTCAGCACAGAGGGAAGCCTTTAAGAGGAAACTGTATGAGCACGTAAGGATGATTTCTTATTTGAATTTAGTATAGCCAGTTCACTCCAGTAACAATGAACAAATACAGTGTTAGAGGCAAGAGAGGTCCCTCTCCACAAGTAAAGTGATTCTTTCCCATAAAGCATACTTACATTCCCTATTTAAGTATGGGCTGATAAGAAATATATCCTTATGAAAGTGCATAGTTCCTAATGTGCAACCACATCTCAGCACAGAGTGTGGACAATTGCTTCAGCAATCTCAGACTCTGGTTCTCTAGAAAACCTGGTACATTAGAGCTCTCTGTGGATAGAAGGAGGCTGTCATGGAAAAAGGCATTTACTTGCCTTGTCCTTCAGTTTTCTGGAAGAAATTAGGACAAGAGAAGTTTAAATATAAAGGAAAATAGCCCAAAACACAAAGAAAAGAGGAATATTCCAGTAGATTTAAAAACAAAAAGGACTGCTTCAGGAGGAAGTAAATTTCCTGTTCTTGAGAAATGCACGTAGAAATGGGATGGGCGGGATGCTTGTGATGTTTTGAATTTTCATCTGTAAATTATATACCACTGAGTCTGTTATTTATAAAGCACTGTAAACATGGTTACATGTAGGCAGTATAATCAAGATTAGTAAATATGTAAACAGACTTCCTTGGAAAACTTTTTACAGAAGGCAGGACAGCCAAATCATCACCCAAAGCCATTTGTAATTTTTAAGAAAATAAGAAAAGTTATTATTAAATATCTATCATATTATTAGGTCAAACTTGTGTTGATATAATCATACTTGTGTCTTCTGGGCATGTATATTTTAGTATATGAATGCCCTTTTAAAGTACATTTATGAACAGCTTACAAAATTTTGCAGTACATTTTCTACCTAAGTTCTTATAGCTATGTCTGCTTTTTGTGAAATATTACATGTTCGATGTTAGTAAAAATAGCAATAGTTACTAATGCTAATATTCATATTAGCAGTAGTGCAAAGGGGGAGAGGAGGGAAGGAGGGAAAAGCAAAAACATGGCAGTGGTTACTTATGGTAGTATTTTGTGAAATATTTATGCTCATTCATTATATATATGGTTGATTTGCAACATTGTTCTTATGGGGAAAATGCAGCCTGCTTTATGACACCATACCTGGGAATAGTTTTGGGGGAACCCCTGTAGTACATGACAGGGACAAGGGTTCAGCACTGTAGATAGGCACTGTGGGAGGCAGTGGGAAAGTGCAACCTTTTGGGTCATGGATACTGTCCTGCTGCTGCTGAATAGGAACTAAAGAGTTGTTCATGGCCTTGACCATGACTGCTTCCCCTTTCCTCTAAGCTTGCCATCCACACCCTGGAGCAGCGTAAAGGGAGGACACAGTGAAGCCGACCCACAGGCATCTTGCACATAAAAGCACTCTACCCAGGTGCTGCTTCTGAGTGCTGTTTGAATACTGTGCTGCAGAGAAAGCTCTTTTCTACCTGTTTAATGTGTCATGCAGAACAAGCCTGGGCTTTTAACAAATTCACCTCTCTTCTTGGGAAACTTCTCACATCTGGCATAAATAAAATGAGCTGGCAAAAGCAAAAAGAGATGTGTGAGCATGTCACAAACAGAAATCTGAGCCAGCTTTTTTTTTTCAATTTATAAAATTCCCTGAATTTGGAGACTCCTCCCAGCTGTCTTCTAAATTATTCCAGGCTCTGAGGCAAAGTTCCATCTTAGTAAATAAATTTGGCAGTTTCCTAGAGCACTCATTTCTACCCATTTAATGCTTTCCAGCAAGTCTGGGGTCCATAGAGATCCAGCTGAAAACACATCCCTTTATCCTAAAGCTCTTAAGTAAATGCATTTTGAATCTGGTCATGAAGTTATAATTACCCGGACTTCCAGCCTGAAAAAAGTACGCATTGACTGCCAGCAGCCTGTTTGCTAATTCAGAGTCATGTTTCACCCTCTAAGGCAGGGACACTCAGTAAGTAGACTTATACACACTGCAAGTCACAAATGTAATTTTAAATCTTTGGGTATGGTAGCAACATTTTAATGTTTTTAAGTTTTTGAGATCAGGTCTATGTATCCTGCTCTCAAACTTGTGATCCTCCTGCCTCAGCTTCCCCAGTACTAGAATTACAGGCACATACCACCATGCTGGCTTTGTAGCAACATCTTTAAAAAGTAAAAAGAAACAGATGAAGTAAATTTTTAAAATATTTTTCACTTGACCCAATATATCCAAAGTGTGATCAACATGAATATAAAAACATTAATGAGATAATTTACATTCTTTCTTAATGCTGATTCTTGACAATTGAGTGTTTACAGTTTATATTACATTTCAGTCAGACTGGGCATTTTTCAAATGTTCAGTAACCATGTGTGGTTAGTGGCTGTCATACTGAACATCACTGCTCTAGGGAAACTCAAATCAAGCATCCTCAGCTGAAGAAACCATCCTGGAGCAAAGAAGACTAAGCATAAACGTGCCTGTGGGAGGTTATGTGGCTTAAATCAAAGCACTGCCTGCTGTTCTAATTTATCTTAACAGTCGTCTTCACTGTAAACTGAATTCTGAGTTTCAAATCGGAACCGAAAGAACCCATTTCAGCCAACCAGACACATTTAGGCTTCAGTGCAGAATGATGGTTTAGTTGTTTCTGGGATTTATGATAGATCAATCCATATTCTTCCACTTACCTTCCCACTTCTTGAAGTTATGAATAATGAGGAAAACCCGCAGAGAATGTTCCCGAAGCAAAATGAGAAGCAAGTACCAATTTTTATTAGTTTTAATTTTGAGATAATTACAGACACACATGCAGATTTTACCCCGTTTTCCCCCAGCAGTAACATCTTGTAAAACTGTAGTACCATATCAGAAGCATGGTGTCGTCATGGACGCTATTAGGACCTAGAACATTTTCATCACTTCGGGGTCTTTCGTATTGCCCTTTTATGGCCCCCACTCACTTTGCTCTCACCCTACCTCCTTATTGACTCCTGGCAACCAGTTATCCATGCTCTGGTTTTATAATCATCTCACTCCAGGAAGGGAATCATACAATATGTAAACTTTTGGGATTAGCTTTTTTTACTCAGCCATTATTCTTTGGGAATTCATCCAAGTTGTGTGGATCAATAGTTGGTTCCTTTTTACTGTTGAGTTCCTTCGTATGAATGTGCCATAGTTTGCTTAACTGTTTACCTATTGGACATCTAGGTTGTTTCTAGTTTAGGGACATTACAAATAAGGCTGCTATAAATATTTGCGTAGGTTTTTGGGTGAATATAAGTCACCATTTACCTGAGATAAATACCAAAGAGTACAGTTACTGGATCCCATGGTAATTTTATGATTAATTTTTTTAAGAAACACGTTTTCATTCTCATCAACTGTGGATGCCCAACTTCCACACATCCCCACCAGCATGTGGTGTTGTCACAGTTTTTTATTTTAGTCATTCTGATAGGTTTTTAGCGATGTCTCAAGAAGCTTTAATTTACATCACCCTCATGGCTACACATGTTGAAGATGTTTCCATGTGCTTTTTGCCATCTATATTCTCTTAGTTCACATCTTACACCCACCGACTAACTGGATAGGTTTGTGTCTTTACTGTTGAGTTTCAAGAATTCTTTAAATATTTTAGATACTGTCCATTGTCAGATGTGTGGTTTTCAAATACTTTTTTCCACTCTGTTTTTTCATCCTCTTAACAACATCTTTCACAGAGCGAAATTATTTAATTTTAATGAGCGCTAACTTGTTCTTTTTTGCTTTTATGGGTCACACTTTGGTGTCAACTCCAAGAACTCATTGCCTTGCCATATATCCTGTAGATTTCTGTTTTTCTAAAAACAGGTTGGTTTTTTTTTTTTACAGTTTTTGATTGTACAGTACAGTTTGAGTTAATTATTGTATGAAGTATGGGACTTAGGTCAAGGTTCATGGGGTTTTTTTTGCCTGTGGCTGTCTAATTACTCTAACAACTTTTATTGAAAAGGGCATTTTTCCTCCATTGAATTGTTTCAATCAGGCATATTTTTGATTCTCAATTTTGTCCTTATTATCTATGTCTGTCTCTCTACCAGCACCATAATCTTGCTAGCTGTAGTTATATAACTAGTTTTCAAATAACCTAAGCTTATTCCTCTGTCTTTATTCTTCCCTTTCAAACATGGTTCAACTATGTTAGTCCCTTTGCTTTTGCATATAATTTTTTAAATAATCCTGTTTATATCTGCAAAAAAACGTGCTGGGCTTTTGATAGTAATTACATTAAGCTATACATCAGTTTAGGAAGAATTGCTGTCTTTACTGTGTAAAGTTTTCTATGCCATGAACATAGTTTGCCTCTCCATTTGTTTAGCTTTTCTTTGGTTTCTTCTCTCATCTATGCATATCTTCCACTACACAAGTCATATATCCATGTTTTGTTATGCAGTTATGCGCTATATAATGGTGTTAAGGTTAATAATGGATTGCATATACAATGGGGGTAGTGACGTACCTGTGTCAGTGTGTGTAAGTCCACTTTACAATGTTCACAAGCAACAAAGTCACCTAACAACGTATTACTCGGAATGCATCCCATACTTAAGCAACACATGACCATATTTACTTATGAGTGTTTTAGCTTTTGAGCAATTATAAATGGCATTGTGCTTTTAATTCCAGTGTCCCACACATTCTTTACTGGTATATGTAAAGATAGTCAATTTTTATTTGCTTATTTTATATTCTGTGATCTTGCTGAACTTATTAATTCTAGGAGATTTTTTTGTAGATTGTTTATAATTTTACATAAATAGTCATGGCATCTACACATAAGGCACAGTTTCATTTCTTCCTTTCTGATATTTATACCATTTATTATCTTGCCTTCCCTTGTAACACTGGCTACAATATCCAGGAATATGTTGAATAAGAGTGATGAAAACTGATATCCCCACTTTGTGAATAAGGGAACATTAAGCATAATGTAAACTATAGGTTTTTGGTAAATGTTCTTGATCAAATTGAGTTCCTCTCTGTAACGAGTTTTCTGAGAGTTTTTATTATGAATGAATGTTATAATTTGACAAACCCTTTTTCTACATTGATTCATATGACTATATAATTTTTCTTCTTTAATTTGTTGATATGGTGGAGTACATTCATTGATTTTCAAATACTGAACCAGATTTGCATCCTTGGAAACCTTCCACTGCCATGGTACAAAGATTTTAGTGTATTTCCAAATTCTGTTTGCTGATACATGTTAAATTTTGCGTGTTTATGGGTACCATGTGGTGTTCAAATTAGGGTAACCATATCAATGTCCTCAAATATTTATCATTTCCTTGTGGTGAAACAAAATCAGCTCTTTTCAAATATACAGTACAGCATCATCATCTACCTCAAATGTTCTTTGATCAAGAACATTTACCAAAAACCTATAGTTCACATATGCTTAGTGTTCCCTTATTCACAAAGAGGGGATATCAGTTTTTACCACTCTTATTCAACATATGATGATCGTTCATCATCATCTACACTGTATTCTGCAGTGAACATCAGAACTTATTTCTCTTATCTAACTAGCTCAGTGCTCCTTGACCAGCCCTTCTGCATTCTTCCCACCCTCCCTCCTGTTCTCTCCAGCCTTTGGTAATGACTATTCCACTATTCGCTAACATTTTGTTAAGGATTTTTGCACCTGTATTAATGAGGTCTATCAGTCTATAGTTTACTTTTTCTTACTCTCTTTATCTGATTTTGGCATCATGGTAATATTAGCTTTACAACATGATTTGGAAAATGTTCTACTTTTTTCTTTACCTTATGGAAGAGATTTTCTAAAATTAGTGTTTTTTTTTTAACTTTTGGTAGAATTCTTTGTGAAACTATCTGAGGCAGAATAAAGACTAGATGGGTAGGGTAGAATGATAAATTTAAATTCAGTCTAATAACTGCAGGGTTCTTCAAATTATCTTTGTATATTGGATAAGTTGTGGTAATTTGTGTTTTTTAGAGTAAGTGGCCTAGTTTACCTAAGCTATGTTAGGACTTAACATTAACAAGATCTTTGTTTCATTGATAGCCACTGTTTTGTTTTTAATTTTATTTTATTAATGTAAATGTTTACAGAAGCTCTATTAATAATTGAAAACTGGAAACAACCCAAATATCCTTCAACAGATAATGGATAAGCAAACTATAATACATCCCTACAAGGGAATTCTACTCAGCAGTTAAAAAGAATGGATAGTTGATAAACAGAACAATTTGGGTGAAACTCAAAAGCATTACACTGAGTGAAAAAAAGCCAGTCTCCAAAGAATATATGCTAGATGATTTGATTTTTTTAAAAATTATTGTTGTGCTGGGTGGGGGTACATTGGAGTATTTACAAAGGTTCTTACTATGTATCAAATATATCATACTTGAATTCAACCCCTCCACTTAGATGATTTAATTTTTTATGACATTCTGGAAAAGGCAAAACTATAGAGATGGAGAACCTACCAGTAGTTGCCAGAGTTTAGGTGGGGGAGGGTAAGGCCACAAGGGGAAGCATTAAGGAGTTTTTTTGGGGAGTGAAATGGAACTACTGTGTATCCCAATTATGGTTACACCAGTCTGTACCTGATTCACAGAACTATCTACCAAAGAAAAGGATCATTTTCATAAATAGCACAATAAAGGGCTGCTGGACCATCCCCACACTGAAACTGTGCTGGGTATTATCTAGTTTGTCTATGACCAGATCACCCACAATCCATCTGTTTCAATGAGAGCATGCGATGAGCCTTGAAGAGAGCTCATAAGTAGTTTGTCAATAAGACATTTGCTCAGTTCAGCCACCTTGACATTAAGGTATCCAGAATAATTGATTCTGAATAAATAAAATTTCTTTCTAAACTCATCCAACTTTGTAGTATTCCACAGGTATATGACTAGGCTGGTGAATATTGAATAAATGAACTCTGTCATTGTATACAGTAAGGCTTGTGAACTACAGTTGGGCTAGAAAGGGTTTTCATGAGACTACAAGACTCTGTTCCACGTGGCTGTGAGACACCAGCTTATCTCCACTTCCCTTTGCTCCCCTGCAGGAGGTTGTGGCTCACTGGATCGCTGAAAGCCGAATTGCCATTGAGGAGATCCGCTTGTTGACCTTGAAAGCTGCCCACAAAATAGATACTCTGGGCAGTGCCAAGGCCAGGAAGGAGGTGAGGTCCTCCGGACCACCAACTACAGAGCTGCTTTCACTTCCTCCCAGGAATTTCAGGTTTCATGAAGCCTAGGTGGCTCTCAGAATATTTGAAAGTCCACATGTAATATTGGCTTAAAAGTTATAAATTTCTCTCACTTGCTAATTTTTTGGATGCAGAATATCTTCAGCATTCTTGAGATGAAGCAACAAGGAGTGGGGAAGTCCTAGGCTTTCTTTATGCAGACCTGGACCTAATAGTACACACCACAGCACTGTGTTAGCCATGTGGTCAGGAGCAAGGTATCTGCCTCTGTGGCTGTGGCCTGGAGCTCTTGTGGAGGGGAACCATGACCATGTATATGGAATGCACAGGATGGGTCTGCTGTATGAGGAACCTTTCATAAAAGGCACTGTTATCCCATCGTCTTATGTTTCTGGCTTGTATGGAATTAATCACTTAATTCTGAAAGCCCATAAAATTGCCAAGAGAAAGCTGATTAGTGCAACCCCTTTATGATCCTAAATGTGATGAATGTGATTTATGAGCTGCCGGAAATTCTTTTGGAAACAAGGCAAGTTAAAAATAAATGAATGGAATCTGGTTTGGAAGAGACGTCTCTTTCCAGAAGGTCTTTATTGACTGATATATGGCCATTCCCTGCAGTGCAGGAGATCTCTTTGTTGGCTTTCACCAAAGATCCTGTTTTAATATGAGTTGGGTGTGGGAAAGTTTCCTTGTTTCGCTTCACAGAGAAAATCCACATTATATCAAATTCTAGCACATTGTGTGTAGCCTAAAAAAGGAGCATTCTTTCCATGTTTTGCTTATGTAGATCGCAATGATCAAAGTGGCTGCTCCACAGGCCGTCTGCAAAATCGTTGACAGGACCATCCAGGTGTGTGGAGGTGCTGGTGTTTCACAGGATTACCCTCTGGCTAGCATGTGAGTAGATGCCATTTAAGAATGTCTGTATTTGAGGGCTGGGGATGTATCTCAGTAGACCAGGGCTTGCCTGGTATTTGCAAGGCTCTGGGTTCAATCTACAGCACTGTAAAAAAAAATGCTAACTGCTAAGTAATTTTAGTATGGTGGTACACACCTATATCCCAGCACTCAGAAGTTGAGGCAAGAGGATCACAAATTTGAGGCCATCCTGGGCTGCATAGTAAGACCCTGTCTCAAAGAAACAAAAAGGGGGCATGGGGTTGGGGTGTAGCTCCAGTGGAAGAGTGCCTGCCTAGTAAGTACAAGGCCCTGAGTTCAAATCCTGATATAACACACACACAAAATAAAAAATATATGTTTTTTACTTGATAGGCTTGGAATTCAAAATATAGAGATGAAATATTTACAAACATCATGTGTCAGTCGAAAAATAAATTACAATAAAATCTACATATGCCTTGATACTAATTATTTATGAAGAAAATAAAAATATCATCTTACTTTAAAGGTGATTGAAGGCTAAATCAATTCATACAGGAAGATTACAATCATCATCTCACTCCATTATGTTAATCTTTACACTGAGGGACCCACTGAGGGTTCCTGGGCTGTAGACTGAACAGGGAGTTTCGCGTTAAAACTGGAAGAAGAGGAGGGATGCAGAGCGAGCTCTGTGTCCACTAGGACAAGGGAGGCAGCAGCTGAATTTGCTGCAATGCAGGGCAGTGACCACCTAACATCTAGATTCTGATTACTGGGAGGAAAGAAGGAAGATTCTCCTTTCCCCATCTGTCTATCTCTATACACAGCACAGCGCCACCTTCTCCATCACAGTGGAGGTAGAATGTCACACCTACAAATTTTTAACCTTAAGAAAGAACTAACTATATCGTGCCATACCATTTACTGCCTGTGGCTCACCTAAGATCTCTTAGTTCTAGCAACTTCTAGTCAGCTGTAGCAATCCAAGAGTGAGACAAACCCCCCTGACCCTGCCATTGAAGATTCTGCTTCCCCTCCAAGCAGGGTGGTGCAGGCCTGTAATCCCAGCACTTGGGAGACAGAGGTAGGAAGACCAAGAGTTCCAAGCCAGCCTGGGTTACATAGTGAATTGACTAGCTTCAGCTATTTAGCGTGACTCTGCCTCAAAAAACAAAAAGAAAAGATTGTTTTTTCTAAGTGAGGAACTTCATTTATTTTGTAACATGTATGAATTGTCTGTATTAAAGGGTTTCAGTATGATATTGTCACATATGTAATACAGTATCCATCTACCCCTTTCATAGCTCCTCCCCCTCCCTGATCCTGGTGGTCACTTAATCTACTTTCAGATTGACATTTTTAGCTTCTGCATAGAGAACATGTGGTACTTGTCTTTTTGTATCCAGCTTATTTCCCTTTGCATAATGTCCTCCATTTCCATCCATTTTACAGCGAAAGAGAAGATTTCATTCTTCTTTATGGCTGAATAACAGTCCACTGTGTCTATGTACATATTTTCTTTATCCATCTGTTGATGTGCACCTAGGCTGGATCCATGCCTTAGCTACTGTGAACCATGCCACAGTAAACACAGGTGTGCCTGTATCGCTTTGTATACAAACTTCAATTCGTTTGGATATATACACAGAATTGAGGGAGCTCTGTCATACAGTAGACATTTTTAGTTTATTGAGGAGCCTCCAAACTGTTCTCCATAATGGCTATTCTAATATGCATCCCCACCAACAGTGTACAGCTGTTCCTTTTCCACCACATCACCACCCGTATTTGTTTGTTTGCTTGTTTAAAGTAATAGCTAGACTAAATGGGATGGGATGGTATCTCACTTTAGTTTTGATTTACATGTCCCTGATGCCAAATGATACCAAGTTCTTTCCATATATTTGTTGGTTATCTGTATTTCTTTTGAGAAGTATCTATTCAGGTCATTTTCACATTTTTTTAAATTGAATTACTTTTTGTTATGATTTTTGAGTTCCTCAGTATTCTGGACATTAACCCTCTGTCAGATGAATAGTTGGCAAATATTTTCTCACATTCTGTAGGTTTTATCTTCACTCCATTGATTGTTTCCTCTGCTGTGCAGAAGCTTTCTATTTTGATATAATCCACTTGTCACTTTTCCCTGGATTTTTGGGGTCCTTATTCAGAAAAATTATGGCCTGTATCAAAGTCTTAAAGTGTTTGCCCTATGCTTTCTTCTAGTAGTTTCAGAGTCTGGGGTTCTACATTTAGTTCTTTGATCCATTTTGAGTTGACTTGGTAGTAGTGAGAAATAGGAGTCAAGTTTCAGTCTTCTGCATGTGAATATCCAGTTTTCCCAGCACCATTTATTGAAGAGGTTCTCTCTCCTGTGTGTTTTCTGTGCCTTTGTCAAGAATCAGCTAGCTGTATGTGTGCTTATTTCCTAGAACTCTGTTTAGCTCCCTTGATCAATGTGCCTGATTTTATGCCAGTACTATGGTGTCTGGTTACTGTAGCTCTATAGTGTATCTTGAAATCAGGTACTATGATCTGTGATGCCTCCAACTTAGTTTAGTTTAGTTTTTTTTTTTTTTTTTTGCTCAGGATTGCTTTGACTATTCAGGGCTTTTGTGCTTCCATATGAATTATAGGTTTGTTTTTTCTAGTTCTGTGAAGAATGTCATTGGCATTTTGATGGTGATTACATTGAATATGTAGATCCTTTTGGGTAGTATGGACATTTTGACTATTCTTCTAATCCATGAACACTAGAGGTTTTTCATTTTTTGTCTTTTTCAATATCTTTCATTCTAATTTTTTTAGAGGTTTTCCACTTCTATGGTTAAGTTTATTCCTACATATTCCTAATATTCCTTTTGTAAATAGAATTGCTTTCATGAATTCATTCTTAGAAAATTTGCCAGCAGGCATAGAGAAAAGCTACTAAGTTATGTGTGTTGATTTTGTTTCCTGCTGCTTTTTTTGAATTTATCAGAAATTTATCCACTAGTCTTTTGGCAGAGTCTCTGGGATTCTATATATGGAATCTTACCATGTGCGGCAGAGATTTCACTTCCTCCCTTCTTATTTGCAATGTCCTTTGTTTTCTCTTACCTAGTTACTCCAGCTAAATCTTCTGGTACTGTATTATATAAGAAGGTGAGTGGGTAACCTTGCCTTATTCCTGATCTTAAAGAAATTCTTTTAGCTTTTTCCCATTCAGTATGTTGATGGTTGTTAGACTGTCATATAAAGCCTTTGTTATATTGAGATGACCATATGTTTTTTTCCTTCTTTATTCTGTTGATGTCATATATGACATTTCTTGATTTTTGTATATTGAACCATCCTTGCATCCCTGGGTTGAAACCAACCTAATTATGGCAATGATCTTTTTGATGTGGCATATAAGTGTGTTTACTAGTCCTTTGTTGAGAATTTACCGAATGCATTTATCAGAAATACTCATTTATATTTTTTATTGCATCCTTGTATGGTTTTGGAACTGAGTAATTCTGGCTTTATGGAATGAGTTTGGAAGGGTTCCCTTTCAATTCAGAACACCTTGAGAAGAATTGTCATTACAGTTTGGTAATATTCAGCAGTGAAACCCAGGCTTTTCTTTTTTGGGAGACTCTTTTTGGTAGTGCTGGGCCTCACATAGGCTCCTATTCTAGGTAACTACTCCATCACTGAGCTATACTTCAGCTCAGAGTCTTTTTATTAGTGATTCAATATTACTTCTGGTCTATTCAGGCTTTTTTTTTAATGTCCTCTTGGTTCAAAGTTGGTAGGTCATTTGTGTCTACAAATATGTCCATTTCTTCCAGGTTTTCCCATTCGTCAGCATAGAGTTTTTCATAATAATCCCTATTGATCCTTTGTATTTTTCTGGTATCATTCATAATGTTTTCTTTTCTACTTCTTATTTTATTTGTCTTCTCTCTTTTTTCTTGGTTAGTCTAGCTAAAGTTTTGTTGATATTGTCAGTCTTTTTAAAAATCTTTGTTTCATTGAACTTTTGCTCCAATCTTTGCTATTTCCTTCCTTTTACTGGTTTTGAATTTGGTTTATTCTTCCTTTTCTAAGTCCTTGAGAGGTAGCATTAGGTTGTTTATTTGAAATATTTCTATATTTTTAATGTAGGCACTCATTGTTATAAACTTCCCTGTTATGGCTGCATCACAGCAGGTTTTGTTGTATTGCGTTTACATTTTTATTTACGGTATCTAAATTTTCCCTGACTTCCTCATGAACCCACTTCATAATGGAGATCATTTAGAAGTGTGTTATTCAGCCTCATGTATTTGTATAATTTTCAAATTTTCTTTTTGTTGACTTCAGTTTTGGGGTATTTATTTTTTTTTTGGTGGTTCTGGGATTTGAACTCAAGGCTGATCCATTGTGATCACACATGATTTCAGTTTTTAAAAAATGTATTGATTGGGTCTAATAAGTTTTTTGAAATTTGTGGCCTAATATATGCTCTAGTCTAGAGAAAGTTCTAGGCACTGATGACTGTATGTTCTATAGCTTTTAGATGGAATGTTCCATAAATGTCTGTTAAGACCATTTGATCTATAGTATAGTTTAATTCCTGTTTTTTATTGATTTTTTCTTTGGTCTGAATGATCCATCTCTTGGTGAAAGTAGTGTGTAGATGCCCCTCTCACTATGATTGTGTTGGACGTCTGTACTTCCCTTTGAGTTTAATAGTGTTTGTTTCATGAAACTTTTCACATCAGACATTAGGTACATAAAGATTTGCAATCATTATATCTTCTTGTTGAGTTGATTCTGTGGTTATTGTACAGTCATCTTCATCTCTTTGTAGCTATATGAGTATAGCTACTCCTGTTCACTTTAGGTTTCTTTATGCTTAGAATATCATTTGATATCATTTCACTTTCAATATGTTTGTTTACTTGTGAAGTAAGTTTCTTACAGGTGGCATATTGTTGGTTCTTTTTTTTAAATCTATTCAGTCAATCTGTATCTTTTAGTTGGAGAATTTAGTGTTTTTATCCAAAGTTGTAATTGCTAGGTAAAGACATTTCTGTCATGTTGTTTATTTTCTTCTAGTTATTTTGAATATTCTGTGTTCTTTTCTTCCTTTTGCATTCATCTTTCTGGTTTGATGGTTTAGTATATTGATAATGTTACATTGCTTTTCTATTTTTCTTTCATGTTTCTACCCTTGGAATGGAATTTATATTTTTACATGCTTTCATGATGTGAATGTAGGAATCCCTTAAGCATCTTTTGTAAAGTTGGTCTGATGATCATGAATTCCCTCAGTTTCTGCTTGTCTTAGAAGGTCTTTAGCCATCTTTATTTCTGAAGTACAGTCTTTCTAGGTATGACAATTTTATTTTTTTTCAGGACTTGGAATACAAATATATCATTTCATTCCCTCCAGGCCTGTAGATTTTCTGTTGAGAAATCTTCTGTTAGTCTAATTGGGATACCCTTAAATGTGGCTTGGCACTATTCTCTTGCAGGTTTTAAAATTCTTGGTTTGTTTTGTTCTTTTGATAGTTTGACTACAAACATGCTACTGTGAAGATCTTCTCTGGTAATGTCTATTTGGGGTCCTGTAATCCTCCTGTACATGTATGTCCATAGACATCCATTTTCCCCAAGATTAGGGAAGTTTTCCTTTATTATTTCATTGAATGGCTTTAACATTTTTTCTTGCCTTTGGGTATTCCAAAACTGTGTGTGTGTTTCATTTGTTTAATGGCATTCCAAAGGTCTGAGATGCTCACTTTCTCCTTTTCCCTCTTCCTGTTCTCCTTTTTTTTTTTCTTTTTTTTTTTGTCTGACTGGGATATTTTATAAGACCTGTCTTCAAGTTCATATATTTTTTCCTCTGCTTGATCTAGTCTGTCACTGAGGCTTTTGACTGCATTTTTTATTTCATATATTCAGCTCATTTCCAAGATATTTGCTTGGTTCTTTTCCAAAAATCTCTTTTTGCTAAATTTCTCACCCATATTCTGAATTATATTCCTTACATCATTTAACTGTTTACCAATAATAGTCTTTTGCACTCATTGAACTTTTTATAATCATTTTTTCAAATTCTGTACCAGGTGTTTCATCCATTTTAAGTTGAGTCATTATGTTCTTTTGGAGCCATCCCATTACTTTGCAGTTTCATATTTCTTGTGTTCTCTACCTTGAAATTCACACACCACTTATATCTACCACATATGATTTGAGTTTTAGTAAGGGGCTCTCCTTTGAAGATGTGTCTTGGGATATACATTTATTGTGCATTGTTGGCTTTGTTTCCAGCTGTCTACCACAATGTAGTCTTCTATAGCTTTGGCTGTGGTTAATGACTTTGGGCCCCATATGTACCATGTAAGAGTCAGAGGGATCCACTGTCACTGTGAGTCACACAAGACTGGGGACACTCTAGCAGTTCAGTGGGTGTGGGGTAATCATGGCTACTTCTACCATGGGGAGGTGACCCCTGTCAGGCAATAGAGATTTCCTTCAGGCACTGTTGATGCCACCTATAGTTCTAGCAAGGGCCTCTGCATTGGCAGCCCCAGCAGTGGTGAGGGGCTGGGTGCACCTATCCTTTGCTCAGTCAGTGGTTCATGGCCAGATTTTTCACAGGAAGAGGCAGTGTCCGGAACACATCATTCCCTTTGTGGCACTCATATCCAGTCCTGTCAATACTTTGTGGTTGGGCAAGGCATGGGGGTAGGTGCCAGCAGGAGCCAAATAGGTGTGGCAGTGAGAATGGTGCCATTCCTCTCAGCAGCTTCAGTGGTAGTGCACACTGGGTTAAGTTGGGGAGCAGGGTAGCTGCTTGAGCTGTGAATTTTGTTATGAAACCTTTATCTGTAGTGCATGTATGGAAGCAGGACTGCAGCTGAACTCAGGTAAAATTACTCTTGATCCTCTTTGGCCTAGTGCATGTGGGGGTGGCATGATGTCTGGAGCACCAGAGCTGCTCAATATCCTGTCAGCATGCTCTTTGGAGCAGGCAACAACAGGAACCATGGTGTTCCCTTCCTGCTCCATAACAGGTACCTGAGCATGATACAGAGGTTGGGGCTAGGAACTGCAGGGGCACCTGTTTTTAGTCCTGTACTGGTATGAGTCCACATGCAGCTGTCTGACCATGCGTTTAACCTCAGAGGGCAAATACCTTGATCTCTTGGTTTCAAGGGTGCTATCCTCATTCCGCCCAATGTTGCAACACCTGTCCTCTACAGTATAGGGCCCCATGTGAGCTTAGGTCACAGTCATTCTGCTAGTTTAAGTTGGGCTCACGAGGCACCTACTCCCTGAGCCAGTACAGTGGATTGTCTGTGGGGTTTCCAGAGATGGGAGTATGCAGGGGTTTGTAAGTCCTAGAGAAGCCCAAATTCAGACAATAACTCACTCCTCCAGATGGTTCCTGACACTATCGTTTGCTGGGAGATGATGTGGAATATCTTTCCAACAGAAGGCTACTGGGCAGACTTCAGGTTGCTTGTCTAAATAGAATGCAGTTCAGTGAGGGTTGGTATCACTTGCACTCATTGAGTTTTCTGGAACTCTTTTTCACCCTGACCACTGCAGAAGGGAGGCTCCCAATTCTCTGGCTGTGGCACTGGGGTTGGAGAAGCCAGGGTATTTTGTTTCTCCTTCTTTCTAGTTCCTCTGAGCTGTGTAAGATTCCTGTCTCTCTCTTGCTTATTTCTAGTGTTCTCTAACCTCAAAATGCAGCTATATGTAGTACTTTGATTTTTCTTTATGGAGGAGGAGGGGGGTGCTGGGTACTCCTATTCAGCCATCTTGAATCCTCCCAAGGTAGGAACTTTAAAATGGCTTCCCAGAAATTATTTGGCATTCTCCTTTGATTTTCCTTATACTCCTTTTCTTATCCCTGCCTTGGTGGGATGAATATAGCTTCAAATTTGTATGAGATTAAAGTATCACATCCTCTTCTATAACTCCTGTGAGCTCTACTCTTTTTGTCTTTTCAGGTATGCTTTCATACGAGCTCTGCGCTTAGCAGATGGACCCGATGAAGTCCACCTCTCAGCAATCGCAAAAATGGAACTCCGGGACCAAGCCAAAACGTTGACAGCCAGGATGTAAGGAGAATAGCTCCTCTATACCCTGTGGTAGAAACCTTCCTTTGTACAACCTTAATCACCTCCAACATCTGAGTCTCATATTATTGCAGCAGTTTGAGCACAGGGTTAATTACTCACTTATAGCAAAGATTTTAGTGTCTGTTTTGATCAGTGTGTCTTATCATTTCCAGGGTAACATAGATGTAAGGTAAATAAATACTACAGCTGTTGTCATTAGGTCTCATACCTAAGTAGCTTACTATTTACTTTTTAAATGCAACTTCCAACAGATCATGAATTAAATTGGATAGCTCTTTCTAAAGTATTCTATAGAAATATTTTCACTTTTTGATTTTTAGGTATTATGTGAGTAAATAACTGTAGGAATATTTCATCTTGCTTTGACAAATCTATAATTGGATTGCTTTTTAATGCTGTTTTTTACAAGTTAATTTAACAATGTTATTAACATTTGCATTGGTTAAAGATATATGACCAGTTGGGTTGTTTTAGAATTCATGTGATTTTAAGTCTGTTCGTAATGTAACGGGAACATTTATGCGTTAAATCTGAGAGCAGTTTAAGGTTTATAAGAAAACATAGCAGACTGTGAGAAAATACAACTAAGAACCATTTTAATCATTTATAAAATGTTTATGAGGACAGCAAAAGTTTGAGCTACAGAAAAGTTCTCTAGTCTTGAGAAAATTAAAGGCAGTCTGCTCTGAATGCTGTCATGCAATCACCCTCTGCAAACATCCTATGGGTATTTACATCAGTTCTGCTCAATGAGCATAGCCCCCGTCTACCTGTAATTCTTGAGCATTTGAAATGTGCAACAGACTGAATTTTTCATGAAAATTTTTTTTAATTTAAATATCAATTCTTAACTCAGTGATCGAGAAACCTTTCAAGCATGGTTGGAACAACTTGGGTATGTGAGTCTGCTTTTTCAACTGTAAATTTTATGGAATCTAAATACATAGAAAATATTTTGAATCAAGAAATAGAGTAAACATAAAATACACAACAGATTTTGTAAACTTACCATGAAAAAGATGCAAAATATCTCATTAGTAGTACCTTTTTATACTGATTACATATTGACATTATATTTTTGAAATACTGACTTAAACATTAAAATTTCACATTTCTTGTTACCTTTTTAGTGTGGATGCCATTGGAATAATAAATGGTAATTTTTTTAATTTTTCAAATAAAAGTATTTTTATTCCTAGAAACTTTTAACTTTGTTCTGTCAGAATGCATATATACCACATGGGTTTATGGATGCCCGAATCATGACTTACATTTCTTCCTGGGGTGAGTGTGGAAGTGGGAACTTGACAAGTCCTGGGCTCTGATCCCCTGTGTATTGTGTAAGCCTCTGCAGTGTTTGCCACTGAGACTTAACCATTCCATATCTCATTTTTCTTTCTATTCACTGGGATTACATTTTTAATCCTAGAGGACCCTGACCTATAGAGGGTTTGTTATGAGAATCAGCACAGCCATGTAGAAGCACCTTCCAATTTGGGAAACACAAGAAAAGAGTTTATAAAGTCTCCTATTTGAAGTAGTTCAAACCTTATAGCTCAAACCAGTCAGCCTTATTACTAATTTAAAAAGTGATTTAAAGAAATCAAGGTTTTGTGTTAACAATTAGAATTAAAGGTCCTATATGATACTTATAATTTTGTGATACTTTTCTGTCTTCAAGGAAAGCTGATTGAATTGGTCATTTGTTTCAGTTAACCTCCCGCCATGTATGTAGCCATCCCTAAGACAAGTCGCTCCATGTGATCCATACTTAGCTCTTTCCTTAACTTAGCTAGATAAAAAAGAATAGTAAAGATTTTTGAAAGGGAAAAATGTCTCCAGATTATAAAGTGAGAAGAACAATGGATCCTTTGCCCCAGACATGGTGGATGAAAGAACTGATGGTAACCTGTGGTCTTCTGGCCATTTCTAGGGTTCTGGCTCCTCAGGCTGTTTTGTTGTTGTTGTTTTTGTAGCTAGTATAAATTCACTATACAAAGGGTTTCATTGTGTGATTTATATACATGCACATAATAATATCATACACTTTGATGAAATTCACCCCTTCTCTTTTACTCTTTCTAATACCCCCACCTCAGGCTGCTACCATGCATTGCTGAGCAGCTGTCCAGCTGGGATATCTGCTATGTTTGCCGTGTTTAAAGACACATGGTTTTCAAGTGAGAAGTTTCCATTCTAATAACCACATAGCAGAAGGGGGAAGGAGAGAGAACTCACTAATCAGGGATTTACCCCTCAAAACCTTGTCCTTTGGTTAGTGACTAGAAAACAAGCCTCAAGATCACCAGACAGGGAAAATGTGTGAGACCACACACACACACACACACACACACACAGGGAAAATGTGTGAGGCTACACACACACACACACACACACACACACAACTACAACATTCAGGATGCACACACACAGGGAAAATGTGTGAGGCTACACACACACACACACACACACACACACACACACTACAACATTCAGGATGCACACACACACAGGGAAAATGTGTGAGGCTACACACACACACACACACACACACACACACACACACACACAACTACAACATTCAGGATGCACAATGAAGTGGCTATGCTGGTCCAGGGCAGTAAGTAGACAGTTAAGGACCTCTGCTACTTGACTTTTCTTTTGTTTTTTTTGTGACACTGGGGTTTGAACTCAGGGCCTTATGCCTGTGAGGCAGATCCTCTTACTGCTTAAGCCACTCTACCAGCCACTACTTGACATTTTTAACTTTATGAACACACAACAGTGATGGAGGGGTGGAGATCGTCATCCACGTAGGGTTATTAATGAAGGCTTCCCCAGGTAGGTCCACACCACCCATGTTCTCATATAACTGTGCTTTACTTATATACCACAGCTATGCTTGTATTGTGTCCAAGAGGACTAAAGTGGATGAGAAGAAGCCGTGTCTACTAGGCATTTGGGTATTTCAATGGCTAAGTTACACAAGAGTTGCCTAGAACCACTTTTCCTTCTTGAGTCAGGCTATGTCAGTCTCTGGGAAGTTTAGAAGATACCTTTTGGGCAGGCATCTGGTATGTTTTACCCAAGCTTCCTAAAGTATTTAAATTAGTAGAGTTCTTAAGTAAGTATATTATCAAATGAAATGTATTCATGAATATATCTTCTATGAAAAATATCCTACATGAATCAAGCCAGGTCACCTCACCTGGCTTCTCTATTTTATAAGGGGAGTGAGATGAAGGGAGCCAGCTGAATCTGTGGGCCTCCTTGCATCACTTTAGGCCACTGACTGTGGTGTGTATTTCTCCATCCTTTCTCAGCCCGATTGCTGCAGGAGTCTTCTAAGTGGACTTCTAGTCTGTTTTCACAATAGAACAGCCAGCTACAACAACCCTCTCCAGTGTTTCAGTGGCTTCTGTCTGACTTAGAATTAATTCAGAGACCTTGCTTTGACTGACAAGGTTCTGTCTGAGATCATCCCTTGACACCTCTCTGATGACTCCTGGCTGCTGTTCCAACACAGAAGCACATCTGTCCTCTGTGCCTTGGTTCTTACTGTTTGCTCTGCCTGGAAAGATGTACTGAGATTTTCCAGATGCTTGCTTGAAAGGTACCTTATTCCTGTCCTTTCTTTTTTTTAAAAAAAGTTTTATTTGTCACACATTAATAATATAAGGGAATTTCATTTTGATAATTCCATACAAGTGTGCATTGTACCTTGAACAAGTTCACCCCCTCCATTATATTCTCATTCTTCCTTTACCCCCTTTTGCCTGTCCTTTCTTGACCATTGTCCTAAACTAGTATCACAAGCTTTGTCATCCCCAACCTCTTTATTTACTTTTCTTTTCTTAGCACCTGTCACTGCACATTTTATGATCTGCTCACTAGAGTGCAAGCCCCCATGCTTTTCCCTTCAAATTCACTGATCTCACTTTGTGTGTACTTAGTGTCTCCTTGGTTCCTGGAACCATGCCTGATACAATCACCATTTACTTTTACTCATATTTGGGAGTGAAGGTAAGGCAGAGAGAAAAGCCCTTATTTTTGAATGCCTTGTTTTTGAAGGCATTCAAAAAGAGAGTAAATAAGTGACTGAATGAGTGTGTACAGATGCTCTCCTGATTCCTGGTTGGTGACATGGCAAGGCATTCATTTAAGAGCTACAAAGAGAACAGAACTGAAGCCTGAACCCCAGCCCCATGAACGGAAGCAGACCCAGAATGGGTTATGGGTAGCTGAAGAAAAGCTAGGCCTGAGAAATGGTATCAGTGCCCTTGCCCTTGCCATGGTGGCACCCAGAAATCTGGATAAGTCCCTTAATGAATTAGATGCTTAGTAAATATTTAACAATCGAGGGAAATGCACATTTAAATTTGTTCTCGTGGTATGTAATCCATTCTCATTAGCCAGAGGCCTGGGATCAGTTCTAGGTACAGAGGGGAGCCAGGGCAGCTAAGAGAAACAAAACCACTTCTGGGGATCGTTAGAATTTTCCAATTTCCCAAATAAGCAGGATTTGGGATGTGTTCCCCCTTAGTTCAGGGTGGACAAAGAACATTTAGGATTTATGATCCAACTAAGATATTCTCTCTTTTGCACGTCTTTCTCATGGTGGTGATTATGTACTTACACACATTGTTGTATGAGGGTGGTTGTGAGAAATGATGGGAAACGGTTTCCTGCCTTGACTTTACCCTTACCTGTGAGCAGAAGGAAAAGTTTCTGACCTGTCCTGGAGAAGCCCCACTCTGAGAACACCCTAAATAATCACTGGTCAAATGGAGAACTGCTCCAGGGAAGGCAGCTTTGCCAGCCTTCCTTCACCCACTGGGTTGGCGGTTAATACACTCTGATGATTCTTTTGTTTCACAGTTTTAAATGGGAGAAAGTGGAGATTGCAAACAACCCTTCCCTTCAACCTCCTTCCATCTCTGACTTTAATTTCTCCTCTTCCTTTTCCTTACTCCACACCAGCTCCACTGGCATCTGCTTTTCCTCCAGTATCGCAGATGTTCGCTCACCTTGAGGTCTTTGCACAGCTGTTTCTGTTCATCTAGAAAGTTCTAACTCCCACTCCATGCCTGCAAGGCTTGCTCCTTTCCTGAAAATGGAACCTTCCAGGGATTCTTTCTGTGACCATCCCATCTACATTTCTAAACTCTCACCACGTACACCCTTATTCTTCTTTCTCTGCTTTGGTTTTCTTAGAACTTTTCATCTTAGACATGCTATATATTTTTTCCACTCCTCCTACTAAAAAGTACACATTTCTTTTTTTGAGACAGGGTCTTGCTATGTAGCCCAGGCTGACCTTGAACTTGCAATCCTTGTACCTTAGCCTCCCAAATAAAAAGTCTACTTTAAGCCAGGCACGGTAACTCATACCTGTAATCTACAAACTTTGGAGGTGGACATAGGAAGATCATGGTTCAAGGCTAGCCCATGAAAAAAGTTAGCAAGACCCTGTTTCAAAGAATAAGCCGAGTGTGGTGGTACATGTCTATAATTTCACATACACAGGATGTAGAGGCGGGAGGATTCCTGTCTGAGGCTGGCTGGAGGCATGGCTCAAGTGGTAGAATGCTTGCCTAACAAGCATGAGGCCTCACAGTTCAATCCTCAGTATCACCAAAAAAAGAGAAAAATCTAATTTGGCAGATTTTGATCAACTCCCTAGTAGCTGGAACAATGCCTAGACCATGCAGAGTAGGTCCTTGTCAATATGTCTCGAATGCATGCATGCACACCAGTTGCAGGGAGGCAGGGATTCCTCACCTCACCTCTGTGAGGTGAGCCAGACAGCCGTAGGGAAAAAGAGGTAAACTGCATGGTGGCCTGAGGCTGCTACAGTGGAAGCGCTGGAGTACAACAGGACATCATATGCCACTCAAATGTGAAAAAACAAGACTACGTAAAACTGACTGGGACCAACGTGGCCAACTGAGACAACCCTAATATCCTTTACTTCCTTATAATGGCATCTCCATATCATTATCCTTGCAAAATTGCCTGCTCCCGTCTTGCATCTGACATCACAACACATCCAAAATACCCA